AGCTACTTACTGCGGCTACACATCACCTCTCTCTTCCAGCTGTTCCTCTCCACAGCAGGCTATAGGCCAGGCAAGCCTCTCCACAACAGGCTATAGGCCAGGCAAGCCTCTCCACAGCAGGCTATAGTCCCCCGTGGGAATTGAACCCACAACCCTGGCGTTGCAAGTGCCATGCTCTACCAACTGAGCCACACGGGACATGTGTTACCATCTTTAAAAGGCAGCGTGCAATAGGATGCATTGATCAGTTGATTGAGGTGTAGCTCAGTTGGTAGAGCATGGCGGGTTGTGGGTTCAATTCCCACGGGGGACCAGTATGAGAAAAAAAAAAATTATGCACTCACTAACTGTAAGTCGCTCTGGATAAGAGCGTCTGCTAAATGACTATAATGTATAATGTAAACGATCAACTTTCCTCTAGTGTGGATGCCAACAAACGTTTCATAGTTATGTAGCCTATAGTTGATCATTATAGTTATCGTTATAGGCTTGGTGGATGGCCCTGAACTCTGACACAACACGTTATTATCACAACAGGCGTAGCTCACGTTAGCAACCTTGAACAAAATAAATAACATTACACTTCTACTTGTTTACTTGACTTTTATACTCTATAAATGGACTCTGGCAAGTTTGCCACCCGCGCGCTGCAGTGGGGAAGTTAAGCGGACGTCGAATCCATCACTTCCGTTGTTTTTCTGTGCCCATAGCGACGTCTGAAAATGAGCTGGATAGAACAGTTAAATCGTGATAACATTCTATATAGAACAGCTCAATCGTGATCACATTCTAACATTCTATATAGAACAGCTCAATCGTGATCACATTCTAACATTCTATATAGAACAGCTCAATCATGATCTCATTCTAACATTCTATATAGAACAGCTCAATCGTGATCTCATTCTAACGTTCTATATAGAACAGCTCAATCGTGATCTCATTCTAACATTCTATATAGAACAGCTCAATCGTGATCTCATTCTAACATTCTGTATAGAACAGCTCAATCTAGATCTCATTTTAACATTCTGTATACATTGAGCAAAAATGCTGAAACGTCCTCTCACTGTCAACTGCGTTTATTTTCAGCAAACCTAACGTGTAAATATTTGTATGAACATAACAAGATTGAACAACTGAGACATAAACTGAACAAGTTCCACAGACGTGACTATCAGAAATTGAATAATGTGTCCCTGAACAAAGGGGGGGGGGTCCAAATCAAAAGTAACAGTCAGTATCTGGTGTGGCCACCAGCTGCATTAAGTACTGCAGTGCATCTCCTCCTCATGGACTGCACCAGATTTGCCAGTTCTTGCTGTGAGATGTTACCCCACTCTTCCACCAAGGCATCTGCAAGTTCCCGGACATTTCTGGCGGGAATGGCCCTAGCCCTCACCCTCCGATCCAACAGGTACCAGACGTGCTCAATGGGATTGAGATCCGGACTCTTTGCTGGCCATGGCAGAACACTGACATTCCTGTCTTGCAGGAAATCACGCACAGAACGAGCAGTATGGCTGGTGGCATTGTCATGCTGGAGGGTCATGTCAGGATGAGCCTGCAGGAAGGGTACCACATGAGGGAGGAGGATGTCTTCCCTGTAACGCACAGCGTTGAGATTGCCTGCAATGACAACAAGCTCAGTCCAATGATGCTGTTACACACCGCCCCAGACCATGACGGACCCTCCACCTCCAAATCGATCCCGCTCCAGAGTACAGGCCTCGGTGTAACGCTCAGTTACGATGAACGCGAATCCGACCATCACCCCTGGTGAGACAAAACCGCGACTCGTCAGTGAAGAGCACTTTTTGCCAGTCCTGTCTGGTCCAGCGACGGTGGGTTTGTGCCCATATGCGACGTTGTTGCCGGTGATGTCTGGTGAGGACCTGCCTTACAACAGGCCTACAAGCCCTCAGTCCAGCCTCTCTCAGGCTATTGCGGACAGTCTGAGCACTGATGGAGGGATTGTGCGTTCCTGGTGTGACTCGGGCAGTTGTTGTTGCCATCCTGTACCTGTCCCGCAGGTGTAATGTTCGGATGTACCGATCCTGTGCAGGTGTTGTTACACGTGGTCTGCAACTGCGAGGACGATCAGCTGTCTGTCCTGTCTCCCTGTAGCGCTGTCTTAGGCGTCTCACAGTACGGACATTGCAATTTCTTGCCCTGGCCACATCTGCAGTCCTTATGCCTCCTTGCAGCCTGCCTAAGGCACGTTCATGCAGATGAGCAGGGACCCTGGGCATCTTTCTTTTGGTGTTTTTCAGAGTCAGTAGAAAGGGTTCTTTAGTGTCCTAAGTTTTCATAACTGTGACCTTAATTGCCTACCGTCTGTAAGCTGTTAGTGTCTTAACGACCGTTCCACAGGTGCATGTTCATTAATTGTTTATGGTTAATTGAACAAGCATGGGAAACAGTGTTTAAACCCTTTACAATGAAGATCTGTGAAGTTATTTGGATTTTTACGAATTATCTTTGAAAGACAGGGTCCTGAAAAAGGGGCGTTTCTTTTTTTGCTGAGTTTAGAACAGTTAAATTGTGATCTCATTCTTACATTTTATATATAGAACAGCTTAATGGTGGTCTCATTCTAACATTCTATATAGAACAGCTTTATGGGGGTCTCATTCTAACATTCTACAGTGGGGGAAAAAAGTATTTAGTCAGCCACCAATTGTGCAAGTTCTCCCACTTAAAAAGATGAGAGAGGCCTGTAATTTTCATCATAGGTACATGTCAACTATGACAGACAAAATGAGAATTGTAGGATTTTTAATGAATTTATTTGCAAATTATGGTGGAAAATAAGTATTTGGTCAATAACAAAAGTTTCTCAATACTTTGTTATATACCCTTTGTTGGCAATGACACAGGTCAAACGTTTTCTGTAAGTCTTCACAAGGTTTTCACACACTGTTGCTGGTATTTTGGCCCATTCCTCCATGCAGATCTCCTCTAGAGCAGTGATGTTTTGGGGCTGTCGCTGGGCAACACAGACTTTCAACTCCCTCCAAAGATTTTCTATGGGGTTGAGATCTGGAGACTGGCTAGGCCACTCCAGGACCTTGAAATGCTTCTTACGAAGCCACTCCTTCGTTGCCCGGGCGGTGTGTTTGGGATCATTGTCATGCTGAAAGACCCAGCCACGTTTCATCTTCAATGCCCTTGCTGATGGAAGGAGGTTTTCACTCAAAATCTCACAATACATGGCCCCATTCATTCTTTCCTTTACACGGATCAGTCGTCCTGGTCCCTTTGCAGAAAAACAGCCCCAAAGCATGATGTTTCCACCCCCATGCTTCACAGTAGGTATGGTGTTCTTTGGATGCAACTCAGCATTCTTTGTCCTCCAAACACGACGAATTGAGTTTTTACCAAAAAGTTATATTTTGGTTTCATCTGACCATATGACATTCTCCCAATCCTTTTCTGGATCATCCAAATGCACTCTAGCAAACTTCAGACGGGCCTGGACATGTACTGGCTTAAGCAGGGGGACACATCTGGCACTGCAGGATTTGAGTCCCTGGCGGCGTAGTGTGTTACTGATGGTAGGCTTTGTTACTTTGGTCCCAGCTCTCTGCAGGTCATTCACTAGGTCCCCCCGTGTGGTTCTGGGATTTTTGCTCACCGTTCTTGTGATCATTTTGGACCCCACGGGGTGAGATCTTGCGTGGAGCCCCAGATCGAGGGAGATTATCTTGTATGTCTTCCATTTCCTAATAATTGCTCCCACAGTTGATTTCTTCAAACCAAGCTGCTTACCTATTGCAGATTCAGTCTTCCCAGCCTGGTGCAGGTCTACAATTTTGTTTCTGGTGTCCTTTGACAGCTCTTTGGTCTTGGCCATAGTGGAGTTTGGAGTGTGACTGTTTGAGGTTGTGGACAGGTGTCTTTTATACTGATAACAAGTTCAAACAGGTGCCATTAATACAGGTAACGAGTGGAGGACAGAGGAGCCTCTTAAAGAAGAAGTTACAGGTCTGTGAGAGCCAGAAATCTTGCTTGTTTGTAGGTGACCAAATACTTATTTTCCACCATAATTTGCAAATAAATTCATTAAAAATCCTACAATGTGATTTTCTGGATTTTTTTTTCTCAATTTGTCTGTCATAGTTGACGTGTACCTATGATGAAAATTACAGGCCTCTCTCATCTTTTTAAGTGGGAGAACTTGCACAATTGGTGGCTGACTAAATACTTTTTTCCCCCACTGTATATAGAACAGTTCAATGGTGATCTCATTCTAACATTCTATATAGAACAGCTTAATGGGGGTCTCATTCTAACATTCTATATAGAACAGCTTAATGGGGGTCTCATTCTAACATTCTATATAGAACAGCTTAATGGGGGTCTCATTCTAACATTCTATATAGAACAGTTCAATGGTGATCTCATTCTAACATTCTATATAGAACAGCTTAATGGGGGTCTCATTCTAACATTCTATATAGAACAGTTCAATGGTGATCTCATTCTAACATTCTATATAGAACAGCTTAATGGGGGTCTCATTCTAACATTCTATATAGAACAGCTTAATGGGGGTCTCATTCTAACATTCTATATAGAACAGCTTAATGGTGGTCTCATTCTAACATTCTATATAGAACAGCTTAATGGTGATCTCATTCTTACATTCTATATAGAACAGCTTAATGGTGGTCTCATTCTAACATTCTATATAGAACAGTTCAATGGTGATCTAATTCTAACACTGTAAGTGATTGCTGTTATTTCTGTTCTGTTGTACAGATTACATTACTGGGGTACCCAGGGGAGACAAAGCTCTGGGCTATGTAAGTATTATGAGCTTATAGATACAAGCACTGTATAACGATTTGAACCTTCATTAATCCTGTACTATGTTGTATGTGTCACTATCTTGGCTAAAGCACACAAGGACTGGATGACTGGGCTAACTATTACTATTATGTAGAGTGTAAATCTTGGTAGAAAATCTAACTCAGTCAGTTTAATGGAGTCTTGCCATGCAGGTGAACATCTTCAATGGGAGGAACATGGAGTCAATGCTGAACTTCACAGGAACGCAGGTAAGCTATGGCAGTGGTTTTACTCTGTGTCAAAGTGTCAAACATTTCTCTACATTCCCCTGCAGGGCACAACGCTCTGTCCAACCAGGTTCCGCCATATTAGCCACGCACGTCATAAGGGATGCTGGTCTCTTCTCACAGCCGCTGTACGAGTCTGGAGAGAGACCTGAAGAGATGCCTTGTCGTATCCCGCCCACAGTGGACCACTGCTTCATGTCCCTCTGTGGTCAACAGTGTCATCCTGGTATTTGTTATTGAGCCTGAGTTCACATCTGGAAGCCATTTACAGCACTGGAAGACATTCACAGCACTGGAAGACATTCACAGCACTGGAAGACATTCACAGCACTGGAAGCAGAAAGATGTCAAAGCAGAGGAGGGAGAGTAGAAAGAGGGGAAGAGAGAGAATAGGAGGACACTTGCTACAGCATGTTAACCTCAAGATGTGGAGATCCACACCGCTGAGATCTCTCACTGGCTACAGCATGTTAACCTCAAGATGTGGAGATCTACACCGCTGAGATCTCTCACTGGCTACAGCATGTTAACCTCAAGATGTGGAGATCTACACCGCTGAGATCTCTCACTGGCTACAGCATGTTAACCTCAAGATGTGGAGACCTACACCGCTGAGATCTCTCACTGGCTACAGCATGTTAACCTCAAGATGTGGAGATCTACACCGCTGAGCTCTCTCACTGGCTACAGCATGTTAACCTCAAGATGTGGAGATCTACACCGCTGAGATCTCTCACTGGCTACAGCATGTTAACCTCAAGATGTGGAGATCTACACCGCTGAGATCTCTCACTGGCTACAGCATGTTAACCTCAAGATGTGGAGATCTACACCGCTGAGATCTCTCACTGGCTACAGCATGTTAACCTCAAGATGTGGAGATCTACACCGCTGAGATCTCTCACTGGCTACAGCATGTTAACCTCAAGATGTGGAGATCTACACCGCTGAGATCTCTCACTGGCTACAGCATGTTAACCTCAAGATGTGGAGATCTACACCGCTGAGATCTCTCACTGGCTACAGCATGTTAACCTCAAGATGTGGAGATCTACACCGCTGAGATCTCTCACTGGCTACAGCATGTTAACCTCAAGATGTGGAGATCTACACCGCTGAGATCTCTCACTGGCTACAGCATGTTAACCTCAAGATGTGGAGATCTACACCGCTGAAATCTCTCACTGGCTACAGCATGTTAACCTCAAGATGTGGTGATCTACACCGCTGAGATCTCTCACTGGCTACAGCATGTTAACCTCAAGATGTGGTGATCTACACCGCTGTGATCTCTCACTGGCTACAGCATGTTAACCTCAAGATGTGGTGATCTACACCGCTGAGATCTCTCACTGGCTACAGCATGTTAACCTCAAGATGTGGAGATCTACACCGCTGAGATCTCTCACTGGCTACAGCATGTTAACCTCAAGATGTGGAGATCTACACCGCTGAGATCTCTCACTGGCTACAGCATGTTAACCTCAAGATGTGGAGATCTACACCGCTGAAATCTCTCACTGGCTACAGCATGTTAACCTCAAGATGTGGTGATCTACACCGCTGAGATCTCTCACTGGCTACAGCATGTTAACCTCAAGATGTGGTGATCTACACCGCTGAGATCTCTCACTGGCTACAGCATGTTAACCTCAAGATGTGGTGATCTACACCGCTGAGATCTCTCACTGGCTACAGCATGTTAACCTCAAGATGTGGAGATCTACACCGCTGAGATCTCTCACTGGCTACAGCATGTTAACCTCAAGATGTGGAGATCTACACCGCTGAGATCTCTCACTGGCTACAGCATGTCGGTTCAACAGAAGGGATTTTGTGTTTAATATTTCTGTTCTCTTTGACACTCCGGTTCAATGCCATAGCAAAAACAAGAAAACATCTTCCCACTATTCCCAATAGTGTGTTTTTGGGATGTTTTTAGCATTAGGACGGATGCCTGGGATTTTACAGAGAACAATCCTTGAGAGAAACAGATCAGAGAGTAATCTGACCATGGACTGTCATGTTGACCTTTACAAATGACTGACCTACAGCTGGCACTTTTTACACAGCAGAAAAGTCATTTTTGTACGCTAATTTATTAACCAGAGCTGATAAAGCGCGAGTTGAAGGAGAGAGGTTCCGCTCTAGCAGGCGAGGGAGGGGCTGTGCAGGGAGGGAGAGACGAGAGACAGCAACCAACCAAGCCGACTCGCGCTATAGTAGACTAATAGCTGCCATAGCTAGGTGATTTATCATCCAATATGATTACATAGTACTTGTCTTGACTGCATCAAAACAGGAGAAGCTCAGCTAACATTAACTAGCTAGGCTAATTGAGGCTGCAGTGCATGTGCTTTCTCATCCTACAGTTACAAACATCAACTCCATTCAGAATATAAAGTAGCAGCCTACCTGTTGGCTCTTGGTCGTTGTAGCCTGTCCTTCTCCTTTAACTTTTTAATTCCGTCATTTTAATTCCATCCTCCATTGATCATATATCTCCTAACTTTTGCCACACACGGAGCGAGGCTCTATGACTGTAGCGTATTGCCGCTTTGATGACTTATGATTGGCCAACAACATGTTGCACGCGCCACGCTCCACTCTGGTGTAAAGGAAGAGCAGCAGCATCAATGATGAAACGTCTCTCTCTCTCTCTCTCTCTACGGCAGCTGTCGCGTTCGGATCTGTACACATACCCGAGACCCATGACAATCATATCAGATAGGACCCAGACCCGTAACATTATTTAGAATTCTGGATCCGAACCCTCTCGAGTACAGGTAGATCCGTGAAGACTGGTCCTCTATAGCTCAATTGGTAGAGCATGGGGCTTGTAACGCCAGGGTAGTGGGTTCGATCCCTGGGACCACCCATACGTAAAAATGTATGCACGCATGACTGTAAGTCGCTTTGGATAAAAGCGTCTGCTAAATGGCATATTATTATATTATATTATATTATTATTATATTATAAAGACCTCTAAGTCACAGTGTTGAGTCTATTCAGGACCACGTCCCCCATCCTCTCACACACACACACACACACACACACACACACACACACACACACACACACACACACACACACACACACACACACACACACACACACACACACACACACACACACACACACACACACACACACACACACACACACACACACACACACACACACACACACACACACACACACACGTGAACAGCCTATACATCTCCAGACTCTTCTCCTCTGATCTCCCTGTAAACCATGAACCAGTGTGCGTGTTACATGCGTGTGTGTGTGTGTGTGTGTGTGTGTGTGTGTGTGCTGACGATAGAAATGCTGACATAATTGATATGCTTTTGTTTTGAGGGTTCCTCCTGGAATCTGTTCTACCCACACACACACAGACACACAGAGACACAGAGGCACACACACACACACACACACACACACACACACACACACACACACACACACACACACACACACACACACACACACACACACACACACAGACAGTGAAGAATAAGCAGATCTCAGATATAGCTACTCTCTGTGCTACTTTGTAGCCAGTTCTGTTTTTAGATGCACTCATTGAAGACTCACTGTTCTATACATGATGTAAACTAGGAGGAGTCTGTCCCTGTATGGGGCTGTAGTCATCCACATTTAGATCTCTAATGGAGGACTAGTGAGTAGGGCTCCATATTTAGATTGTGATGGTGGTCTCTAATGGAGGACTAGTGAGTAGGGCGACATGACCTCTGGAAGATCCAAGGACTCATTGCATTTCTCTCTGCCTGTTTTTCCTCAGATGGCTGCCTACTTCGGCCATTCTGTGGCAGCCACCGACCTCAATAACGATGGGTAAGTGATGATGTTGAATGCTGATTGGACAAGCAGCTCCAAGCCGTGCTGTATTGTCCGTCACAGCCTGCTAACAAATCCATCTGAAAATGATCACTGGGGGGGGGGGTTGTTAACATAATCCTCGCTGTCTGCCTGTCCAACCTCGGAAACAATGTTTCACTTTTAAATGTTGATCTCTGTACCATAGAGAGTGAAAGGTGCCCAGAAGAGAGGATAACTTTTTCTGAGCCAGTCGAAATCCCACATCAACGTCATTGTCGTGTACATATCCAAGTAAAAGCCAATAGAAGAAAAAAAAAATCACTAACAAACTAAAATGCAGCTAGTGTACATGTCGTTCCAGGTTCAATGTTTGACGTGACGGAGTTAGCTGAAGTTGGCTAGCTAGCTTGCAAGTGGCGAGCGTTATCCAGCCTGCATAGCAACCATTTTATTTTGTTTAGAACGGACAAGTCCTTTTTGCATAGCAACTATGCAAAAAGATTTAACGGCTGGGTCGTGTCTGTAGCAACCAGCATGACCAAAATAACTAACAACCACATTTTTGTCCGGACTATATCTTCTTGTGGAATAATTAAATTGTATGAATTGACCAAAATAACGTTTTAATGAAAATATGGACAGTTTTATCAAAGCTATAAGGCACGCGAGGCAGTGCTGTATTTTTAGTACATTTTAGTCATTTTAGCAGACGCTCTTATCCAGAGCGACTTACATGAGAAATTAGGGTTAAGTGCCTTGCTCAAGGGCACATCGACAGATTTTTCACCTAGGCGGCTCGGGGATTTAAACCAGCGACCTTTCGGTCCCTGGCACAACGCTCTTAACCACTAAGCTACCTGCCGCCCCCTGTATCATGAATACAGTCACGGGTAAATGGGTTGACTGGGCCTCCACTAACACATCGGGCCGAGCAACACCATTTACCTGTGACTGTATTCATGAAACAGCGCTGCCTCGCGTGCCTTATTGCTTAAATAACTGACTGCCATATCCCTCGACTCTAGATGCATCCCCAATGGAACCCACTCCCCTATTTAGCCCTATGGAAGGCCCTGGTCAAACGTAGTTTACTATTTAGGGGAATGGGGTGCCCTTTGGGACGTGGGAGCTATCTCAATAGGCAATGACTACCTTTACAGTCTATCAGGGTTGTATTCATTAGGGCATAACATAGCAAAACGTTTTGCAATGGACAAGGTCAGGTATTCCCTCCCTGTTTGTCTGTGTTCTTCCCTTAGGAGCTTAATGAACACAACCCTGCTTTAGAATGTTTAGTGGTGACGAGAGCTCTCAAGGCAATAGATGTCCATGTCCTGTTGCAGTGTTCATTTATCTCTAGATGAAGACCAAGTCATGATCATAGACCGGTAATGATACAGCCTCCAGGCTTCCAAGTCCTCTCCTGAGTCCTGACTGGTTTCAGATGCAGCTGAATATGTTGGGCTGAATTAGCTACCGTTACCATCCATACTTTAACATGGGGAATACATGTTTACTCACTCTAAAAGCACTCGGATGCAGCTGAATATCTTGACTGATTTTATTTAGGTTATATCACACCATCCATGCTTCAGTTACAGTGCCTCTTTGACTTTTTATATTTCGTGGAGATCAGGGCCATTAAACCCCAAATACTGTACATGGTCAATTGTAAGACAACAAAGGGTTGGTTTTGTAAACAGATTAAGCCTATTCCTGGACAAAATAGCACGTTAAATGGAGAGTTCATATTGAACATATTTCTTACTACAGTGCTAGGCTTTGGGAAACCAACCCAAAATGTTATTAAAACGTCTAAGGGAGGGGTACTTCTAAGGTACCTTTTATCTCAGAGAAATGTCCATCTCTGCCTGAGCCTTCTAAAGCACATACAGTTGAAGTCGGAAGTTTACATACACTTTAGGTTGGAGTCATTAAAACTGGTTTTTCAACCACTCCACACATTTCTTGTTAACAAACTATAGTTGTGCATGACACAAGTAATTTGCATGACACAAGTAATTGTTTACAGACAAATTATTTCACTTATAATTCACTGTATCACAATTCCAGTGGGTCAGAAATGTACATACACTAAGTTGACTGTGCCTTTAAACAGCTTGGAAAATTCCAGAAAACAATGTAATGGCTTTAGAAGCTTCTGATAGGCTAATTGACATCATTTGAGTCAATTGGAGGTGTACCTGTGGATGTATTTCAAGGCCTACCTTCAAACTCAGTGCCTCTTTGCTTGACATCATGGGAAAATCAAAAGAAATCAGCCAAGACCTCAGAAAAGAAATGGTAGACCTCCACAAGTCTGGTTCATCCTTGGGAGCAATTTCCAAACGCCTGAAGGTACCACGTTCATCTGTACAAACAATAGTACGCAAGTATAAACACCATGGGACCACGCAGCCGTCATACCGCTCAGGAAGGAGAAGCGTTCTGTCTCCTAGAGATGAACATACTTTGGTGCGAAAAGTGCAAATCAATCCCAGATCAGCAGCAAAGGACCTTGTGAAGATGCTGGAGGAAACAGGTACAAAAGTATCTATATCCACAGTAAAACAAGTCCTATATCGACATAACCTGAAAGGCCGCTCAGCAAGGAAGAAGCCACTGCTCCAAAACCGCCATTAAAAAGCCAGACTACGGTTTGCAACTGCACATGGGGACAAAGATCGTACTTTTTGGAGAAATGTCCTCTGGTCTGATGAAACAAAAATAGAACTGTTTGGCCATAATGACCATCGTTATGTTTGGAGGAAAAAGGGGAATGCTTGCAAGCCGAAGAACACCATCCCAACATTGAAGCACGGGGGTGGCAGCATCATGCTGTGGGGGTGCTTTGCTGCAGGAGGCACTGGTGCACTTCACAAAATAGATAGCATCATGAGGAAGGAAAATTATGTGGATATATTGAAGCAACATCTCAAGACATCAGTCAGGAAGTTAAAGCTTGGTCGCAAATGGGTCTTCCAAATGGACAATGACCCCAAGCATACTTCCAAAGTTGTGGCAAAATGGCTTAAGGACAACAAAGTCAAGGTATTGGAGTGGCCATCACAAAGCCCTGACCTCAATCCTATAGAAAATGTGTGGGCAGAACTGAAAAAGCGTGTGCGAGCAAGGAGGCCTACAAACTTGACTCAGTTACACCAGGTCTGTCAGGAGGAATGGGCCAAATTTCACCCAACTTATTGTGGGAAGCTTGTGGAAGACTACCCGAAACGTTTGACCCAAGTTAAACAATTTAAAGGCAATGCTACCAAATACCAATTGAGTGTATGTAAACTTCTGACCCACTGGGAATGTGATGAAATAAATAAAACCTGAAATAAATCATTATCTCTACTATTATTCTGACATTTCACATTCTTAAAATAAAGCGGTGATCCTAACTGACCTAAGACAGGGAGTTTTTACTAGGATTAAATGTCAGGAATTGTGAAAAACTGAGTTTAAATGTATTTGGCTAAGGTGTATGTAAACTTCCGACTTCAACTGTATCGCTGTGTTATTTTTAGTGCTACAAAATACCATGAATTAGTAGTCCACGTCTTTTTACCATTAATTAGTATTCCACGTCTTTTTACCATTAATTAGTAGTCCACATCTTTCCACTATTGTACGTTTGTCTTCTGTAGTATAAACCCTAATGGTGTCTCTCCTCAGGCTGGTGGATCTGTAGTATAAACCCTAATGGTGTCTCTCCTCAGGCTAGTGGATCTGTTTGTGGGGGCCCCTCTGTTCATGGAGCGTGGCAGTGATGGGAAGCTGCGGGAGGTGGGCCAGGTGTCTGTGTTCCTGGGGAAGGGAGGGTTCTCCTTCCACACCCCCGTCACACTGAGTGGAACGGAGATCTACTCACGCTTCGGCAGTTCTATAGCCGCACTGGAAGACCTGGATATGGACGGCTTCAACGGTACGTATGAGGCCTTAACGGTATGTATGAGGTCCTAATGGTATGAGGCCTTAACGGTATGTATGAGGTCCTAATGGTATGAGGCCTTAACGGTATGTATGAGGCCTTAACGGTATGTATGAGGCCTTAACAGTATGAGGTCTTAACAGTATGTATGAGGCCTTAACGGTATGTATGAGGCCTTAACGGTACATATGAGGCCTTAACGGTATGTATGAGGTCTTAACGGTACATATGAGGCCTTAACGGTATGTATGAGGTCTTAACGGTATGTATGAGGCCTTAACGGTATGTATGAGGCCTTAACGGTACGTATGAGGCCTTAACGGTATGTATGAGGCCTTAACGGTACGTATGAGGTCTTAACGGTACGTATGAGGCCTTAACGGTATGAGGCCTTAACGGTACGTATGAGGCCTTAACGGTACGTATGAGGCCTTAACGGTACGTATGAGGCCTTAACGGTATGAGGTCTTAACGGTACGTATGAGGCCTTAACGGTATGAGGCCTTAACGGTATGAGGCCTTAACGGTACGTATGAGGTCTTAACTGTACGGATGGAAATGGAGCCTCTGAGACAACCGTCTGCATGGTTCTTACAAACGCATAATGCTCACTAGAGTTGCAAAATTCTCTAAACTTTCCCAAAGTTCCCAGGTTTTTCAGAAATCCTGGTTGGAGGAATCCGGGATTCAGGAGGAAGTAAGCAGAGTGTCCACCAGAACAGGATTCTGGCCTCTTTGGGATTGCTTCCTAGGCTCCTATACCAGTCATGCATCTCAGGGAGATTCCCTGGTTTGAAGACAATGACCAAACCACCATTTTAAGGGTTGTTGATGATCTCCCTCTTCCTGTAATGTTTCTCTGTTCCAGACATTGCCATAGCTGCACCTTACGGCGGGCCGAAGCACCGCGGCCTAGTGTACATCCACAATGGGAGGGCGGCAGGGCCTGACCCAGTGCCTTCCCAGGTCCTAGAGGGGAGGTGGGCCTCCTCTTACATGCCCCCCAGCTTTGGATACTCCCTACACGGAGCCACCGATATTGACCAGAACGGATACCCAGGTATTTTTATACTAGAACGAATATCCAGCTATTATGATACGTGAATAGATACTCAGGTAGTTTCATACTAGAATGGATACCCAGGTAGTTTCATACTAGAATGGATACCCAGGTAGTTTCATACTAGAATGGATACCCAGGTAGTTTCATACTAGAATGGATACCCAGGTAGTTTCATACTAGAATGGATACCCAGGTAGTTTCATACTAGAATGGATACCCAGGTAGTTTCATACTAGAATGAATACCCAGGTAGTTTCATACTAGAATGGATACTCAGGTAGTTTCATACTAGAATGGATACCCAGGTAGTTTCATACTAGAATGGATACTCAGGTAGTTTCATACTAGAATGGATACCCAGGTAGTTTCATACTAGAATGGATACCCAGGTAGTTTCATACTAGAATGGATACTCAGGTAGTTTCATACTAGAATGGATACCCAGGTAGTTTCATACTAGAATGGATACCCAGGTAGTTTCATACTAGAATGGATACCCAGGTAGTTTCATACTAGAATGGATACCCAGGTTAAGTTAGGGGAGTTCTGATAGTATATTTCTGGGTTTGTGGTGACTGAATGCTTACAGATTGGCCCTTGATTGGCAAAAAACTAAAACATAAAGGATTTGACTGTGGCTATTACCGGGCTGCTGGCATTATACTGACGTCTTTCTTTCCACCCTCTCCTCACCACGCAACAGAGAGAAAAAAAGAGAAAAGAGAGAACGAGCGAGAAAGACGAGACAAAAAAGAAAAAAGAGAAACAAAAAAAGAAAAGAAGAAGAGCAGAGAGAGAGAGAGAGAGAGAGAAAGCAGACAGAAAAAGGAGCAGACGGAGAGGACGAGCGCCCCCCCCCCCCCACTACCACCGAAACAAACCCTCCGCCTCCTCTCGAGATCTCCCTCTCTCTCTCCCACCCCCCTCTCTCCCCCTCTCCTCTCTCTCTCTCTCCTCTCTCTCCCCTCTCTCTCTCTCTTCTGTCTCTCCACCACAGACTTAATAGTCGGTGTATTTGGTGCAGACAAAGCCGTTCTATACAGGTACAGACAAAGCCGTTCTATACAGGTGCAGTAGTGCTGTGGTTTCCTTTCTTTGATGTTCCACAATGTACCGTGCTTTATGATCCTAAACCATCCCAGGTGTTTTATATATTAATCTAAAGTAGTGGTCTATATGCCATTGGTGGAACATGAAGCCTTAGTTAGTGGCTTCTCATTTAAACGTGAACGTTGTAACTGCCTCTACGGTTACCCATATTATATAGACAGCTCACTTCACAACACAGGCGGTACAGTATCTAATCTGTCTCTCTTCTGCGTTTAGATTCGTCAGGGTTTGGTTAAACTTAGCCAGAGGATTCTGGGTGCCTGCAAATTTATGAAATTGCTTATTCCAGTTACTATTAAACATGCACCCATTAACTCGACTCCCGAGTGGCGCAGTGGTCTAAGGCACTGCATCGCAGTGCTAGCTGTGCCACTAGAGATCCTGGTTCGAATCCAGGCTCTGTCGTAGCCGGCCGTGACCGGGAGACCAATGGGGCGGCGCACAATTGGCCCAGCGTCGTCTAGGGTAGGGGAGGGAATGGCCGGCAGGGATGTAGCTCAGTTGGTAGAGCATGGCGTTTGCAACGCCAGGGTTGTGGGTTCGATTCCCACTGGGGTATAAAAAAAAAAGTCGCTCTGGATAAGAGCGTTTGCTAAATGACGTAAATGTAAAAAATTTAAATATAGATTTGACATGCATTGCTGTACAACTCTATTGTATCAACCAGTGAATTGATCCGATAGCTAAACTCTTCCTGTGGTCGTGACCGATGGTCCTTGGGACAGCAACGCTAACCCACATTATAGGTCAGTGAGTTGGCTTGGCTGGCTGTGAGGATAGACCCCCCCCCCCCCCCCCCCCCCCCCCCCCTGTGCTTTTAGAAGTCTTCCATAAAAGGAAAGAAGACGGCAACACCTTTCGACCTTAGTCTTATGCTGTGTCCCAAATTGCACCCTATTCCCTATATATTGCACACATTTTGACCAGAGCCATATGGACCCTGGTTAAAAGTAGTGCAGTATATAGGGAATAGGGTGCAATTTGGGGGACACAGTGGCTACAGAACCACAGCTCAGAGGAATCCTGTCTGGGTGTACTGAGCTTGTTAAGCAGTCTGTAACAG